TTCCCTTTTGTTTTGTCATGCACTTCTCCCCCAAGCTCAGACAATTGCGTCGTGCATCGCGCCTTTTTGGCGCCCCACACAGACAAAGGCGCACGCACACACTCGCAGGGATTTCCGTTACGCTGTCGAAATCAAATCAAATTAATTCATTAAGCCAAATAAATGTTTAATAAATCATAACAAGAAAACAAAACAAAGCCGAGGAACGAGAGGCGGCGAGTGGCGGCGAAAACTCAAGCAAAAATCAGTCTGGCGCCTATTTTATGAACGGTTCAATAGCAAATGTCAAATTTGACAAGCGGCGAGCAGAAAAAAAATAAGAAAAGCAAAAAGATGAGGGGGCGGGGGCGCACGAGCGAGAATCTCAGCTGATAACATGAAGGAACAACAACATTTTCGGCGAGGGACGGGGAAATCTTTTTTCGGACCATAGCTTGTTGTTATTAATTAGCTTGACTTGTGACTGGGCCGTCAAAGTTCTGATTTAGCTCGAAAGATATAGCGAAGACCCTCTCCCTCCCGACAGATGGGAATAAATGAATGGGCCGGCAATTGGAGGGGGTTGTATTATGGTGTTCCCATTTCCAAAATGGGGGATATTCATTCACCAAAAAAAATGTGTATTATGTATGTGTGGGGTGAGCGTAGAGTGATAAGGTAGCTGATAAGGTAAGCAAATATAGCCCATATGTACCTTGCTTCAATAGGTAAATACAGCAAAACTTCTCTAGCTCAAACTTTTGGTTGAAGATTTTATGTGTTAAAAAAATCTTTTCAAAGTTAAAAATTAAATATTTATTTCAATTTTTCAAAAATCAAACAGGATGTGTTAAAGAAATACCAAAATTACATCATCAGATATCCCCGATAGCCAGGTTTGACTGTACATAATGTTACTTACTTGGTTTCCTCGGTAAACGTGGGGAAATTTTGGGGTCTCTGGCTGTGAATGGAATCGAATCCAATAAGTACGCGTACACATTTACTCTACTCACGCCCGCCATTCATGTGTGTGAGTGAAATTCATTGATAACTTAAAAATGCCAAATCAAACAACTCGCACACATCCGTGCACACAGAGAAATACCTTGTGCAATGCATTCCGTCAAAATAATTGGGCAATGGGGAGCGGAACGTATCATAAATAATAAGAGTGAGCAAATAAAGCGTTGGCCAACCTACAATGAAAAAAACAAGGAGAGGGAGGGGAAAATCCCCTGTCGAGATTAGAGAAGAAAGCTTATCAAATCGGAATTTATATGAAATGTTATTTCTCTTATTGCCGCTGACAATTATTGTTGTTTACCCACTTGCATTCCACACACACACACACTTACACACACTCACCCAAATAACGGGCGTCCGCGGACACTTGAAAATGTCATTACACACAGAGAAAAGAAAGGCGCGCGCTAAAAATTTCATTCACTTGATTCACGCTGCTTGCCTTTCTTGTTGTTGTTTTTGCTATTTACGCCGCTGCATTCATTCACACATACGCCGCTCGAGAGCGTAAGAGCGAGAGGGACGGAGATAGAGAGGCGAGATTGGGTGAGCAAGCAGTGCAAGTACCATGGGATCGGATCGACAGTTGTTGCTTTTCGTGCCTTTCATTCAATAAAAAAAACCGCAAACCACACACACAAACGTGTATCCGAACACAGTTGCGGTAAAAATAATAGTAGTTAACTTGGTAAAAAAGATAACTAAAAAAAATGAAGAAATATTATTTTCAATTGTGTAAAATTCCCTGAAGAGATTTAATATATAATCTGATTCGTGGAAAAGTTTGACTGTATTGGCAGTAAAATAAAATACTATAAAAATCTACATTTTTACAGAATATTCAATAATTTTTAAACCTCTGCAATTACTATTTTGACCATAGCTGTTGAAATGTATTCCATTGCGTATTTAACACTTTGATAAACAACTAAACCACAAAAATGTTGTATAAGCCCAAGCGGATTTCAACTGGGCCCGACCACAAGTCAATAATGAAAATAAGAAACCAGTCTGAAAAGGATCTGCTAGCGGAGTCTTATCTGACCGGAACTGGCCAGCTCAAGGTCTCTAGATACTCACTTTCTAACCAGGAATTGCTTCAGCTACTATAATTAATCATTTAATCATTATTGGAAATACGGTTGTATTGCCCAAGCCTTAATTACTCAACATTATGAAAGACGAGACATATTTCACACGATTCAATTGAAAGGCAAAACTTGTTTTCGTATTCTATAATTTGAAGCGGTTTACAGATCTTAATTAAAGTTAATTAGTGTCGAGTAGTGTTGGTTGATTATGAATTATCTGTGAAATTTATGGATTAAAAGGAAAATGAATATGAACAGACTTTAAAGAAATTTCATTAGCTTGGAGATTTGTATGTCGTAAACTTTTTGATTCAATGTGAAAAAGTAAAAGAAATATTTAAAACCCAAATTAGAATTAAAGACACAAAGCAATAGTCTTCCTTAATAAATTGATTACTCAAAATTGTCAATCTCGATAAAGAAAATACATTAGTATATTTACAAATACTTTGTTATTATTTTTTTATGGCTTATATATTTATTTTTGGCTTTTCATAAAAAGATAAGCTATTTTTGCAGGCTGGCAAAATCAGGCGAGGCAAAAAAAAAAAAGGAGCAAGCTCAACTTGTGTCGAATTCCAATGAAAATACTATGTAAACAAAGAATGCTTGACAGAGATTATACACCCAAAAAAATGAGAAATCGCCCTGGTTTAGAAAATCGCCTATGAATTTGCTTACTGGCGATTTTGTCTATATTAAAAAAGTAGGTTTTTAAAATCAAAGACGTTTTCTAAAAATCAAAAAAATAGACTGCAATTTAGAAATATTTTGCTAGAAAGTAAAAATTATTTCTTAGAATTTAGAAATAAAGGTTTTCTAAAAAATAGAAATACGGTTTTTTTAAATATAGACAAATATTTTTAAATAAAAAAAAATTTCCAAATTCAGAAAATACAAAAATCTATTTTCGGGCTTCGGAATATACCCGGTTGTTTCTGTGACGCCACGGCCTTTGTGTTGTTTTTTTCGTTCTTGTTTGTCACCTTATTTTAATTTCCTTTAATTGAGCACATGGGTGGTTTCAAATTGGAACTGAAATGAGTGTACAAATTACAAATTATAAATATAAAAACCCAATAACTTACTATTTTGAGAAAAACATCTTGGTCGCCGCACGCGGGATTCGAACCGCTAACCGCTCGCGCCTCACAGTTTGCAGTCAAGCACTCTACTAGCTACGCCACGGAAGCATCACGTGAGGCGCTGTACAAAGTCTATTCACATTTTGTTCTCCTATTTTTACTCAAATTGATCTGGCTTTCTTCTGGTTATTCCTTTTAGTTTATCATTTAATTTTACTTTTAAATATTTATTGATTAATATTAATATTTATATATTTATTATTTATTATGGTTCAATAGTAACAGTAATTGAATGTTTCAAATTTGAAAAACTTAAACAAAATGCAATACATATTTTTATTAATATGTAACTATTAGTGTTAAAAAAAAAAAAAGACACCACGAGTTTTCGTCTCGACGTGGGTTTGAACTCACTCTTGCAGCCGCAAGCTGAATAACATATGCATGCACGCACGCGTTAGACCCCTAGGCTACCAATCCCGGAAATTTTCTTCGATTAATAGCGATTTTTCTTAGGCTAAAAAAACATTTCTAAAAAGTCTATAAGAAAGGAAATCGATCAAATACGGTTAAATTTTTTATTTTCTAGAAAAATATTTCTTAATATCACACATTTTTTCAAAATGTTAGAAAAATCTTCAAAAAATTTTTCTGTTATTAGAAAAACAATATTTCTATTATGTAGAAATATTTATAATTTTAATGGCAATTTTTTTAGTTTTAGAAAAGTTCAGTCTTTTTTTCTAAAATCAATGGCGATTTTAACCCTCAAAAAAGAAAGGATGATTAGAAAAATAAACCTTATAATTTAGAAAAAATTGATTTTCTGTATTTCAGAAAATATTTTCTAAAAAAACTCGTTCAATTCAGAATTTTTTGAAGATTAGAAAATTTTTCTGAAGATTAGAAAATTTTCCTCTTTTAGAATATTTTTGAAGCACAGAAAAATTTTTTTTCTATATTTAAAAAAATAATTTTTGAGTGTAGGCGGACAGTATACGGTCTTTAACCATGTTTACGGCCTGTATCAAAGACCCTGTCAAAGCATAAAGACTGCAATTGATTGTCTACCACATATCGTCTTACGTGTGCATGTGCCATATAGTCAATATATATATCGTAGAACTCTAGCTCTGAAAATCGAACTAAAGTAGAAGACTTTTATTACAAGTATCATTTTTGTTTATATGAGGAACACATATTTTGAATAGAATTTATTACTTTAAAAGTGAGGTTCCTAATTTTTCTAACCATTACATATTTTAATTATCTTTAATTGTTATAACTTTGAACTGTGTTAAATTTCATAACGGGGACTCGCCTATTCGATCAATCACAAAAGCTCAACTTGTTTTTATTACCTTTTTCCTATTTGCCTTAACAATTCCGGGAACTCTGTATAAGCTTTTCGTAGCAAAAAAAATAGTGCCTAACCAAATAAATGGGTCAACTGGGAAGCAAACATAACAGGAAGTAGTGTCATATAAATTGCTCATTCCGCGCAGTTGCTGTCGACCAACAGGAACTCGAAATGGGGAATGAAAGGGATCGTCTGTGAATGCCCTTCATATATGTAACTCTAGTTTTATTTATTGACACAATGTGCAATAATGTTGCAAACAGCACTTGCAGAGCTGTTCACCTGACTGGTTGATCAGTGGGGGACTTATAAGTGTAAATATCAGTCATGGACAAGCCTAGAAACATTATGATATAGGGGCTTTGTTACTACATCCTGTTGTAAATTAAATTATAGTAAATTGTGCATTTATTTTTATCATTACTTTAGTAACATATATTTTTTTTGTTTTATTTCCAGGTGTTCTGTGTGGAAAGACTAAATAACAATCTCACTACGTAGTGTCCAACCCATTAGGTATGCAGATAAGCTTGACTTTAATTATACAATTTTCTTTTATCTCACCCTGTTAGTGAGCAAGTTGCAGATATGCTTTTTAAGTGATCAATCGTTATTGCTTTCCTGGAAATCTAATTTTAGTCGCTGATTTGTTTGTATGAACTTTGTTCGTATCATTAATTTTAGTAGAACAATTGCACTAGTAATGTTCGCTCTTATCTTGTTATTGTTATTGTGAAATTCAATGCCTGCCGATCGACTGAATAATAATTCATTGAATAAACACAGACGCCCATGCGGGGTGTGTTGTGTGCGGTAGTTAGCACTCGACAATCGAGCCGGGAATATGCAACTGTAAAAATAACAACATCACGTCAAGGATCGCCCCCTAATCAACGTCTTTGATATGACGATGACGTGTGCAAAGTACGAGCATTCGTATTCCGATAAAAACAGACGAATGAATCGAGGCAGCCCGGAAAATGTGCAATAAACAATGTATTTTGATTCGAACGTGACGGCTTATTGGATTGTCACAAGGCTGGTGGTACTTTACCGGTCTGCCCATGTGATTGATGACCAAAGTCTGGGGTCTATCTGCTAGTGAAAGTCACGAGATTTCGCGGCGGGGTAATGAACGTCTCTTCTGGGATTTAGATTGCAGCTGATTGTCGTGTGAAACGTATATTTTTGGATATTTATGTGAAAGTAAATGAGGGAGAATGATGGATATATGAGTATGGAAAATATTAAAGTCTGATCGTGGATCTGTTAAGGATTATAGTTTCGTTATATTTGAATATGTAATTCCATACATTTATATTTATTGTAAAAGGGGGTCTTTCATTAATATTAGAGTATCCAGTGTGCGCTAAAAACATCAGTAAAATCACAGTCCTTGTTGCTATCGTTATCGTTATCGCTGGCCATCTCCGATTGGCCGCCTCTGACTTGGCTCACGCACTGAGATCGGTATTTTGGGTTTTAATCAGCTGACGTTGTTGTTTTCGACGGAGCTTGTGACTTTTTTAGATTTTCGATACGGTTGGCTCCAAATTGTTGTTATCGGCTGAGCTTTGACTGCGATATGCGTATTTATTGTTGACATGCCCAACGATTATAGTATGTTTTATAGGTGCCAAGTGTGAGGAATTCGAATACTTGTATGACACGATAAATTAGTTAGGGGTGGAAAACTCTATTTTCGAACAGCGATTGCTGTTTAATGCATCGGTAGGTTAAGGGTAGTTTTTGACTTTTTTAATATTATTTCAGATGCTTTTTTGTATCGGTACCTACATTTATCGGGGTGCTATCGCTTACAAAATTATAAATTATTTATGTGGTGATTACCAATGTTTTCGGGGCGATAAAAGTCTGTCATCGCCACGGTGAGTACGTCATGATCGTGGAATTTCCGTCACGGTTCCGTCTCGGTCTCCACCTCCCCAATCCCCGCCCCTTTGCCATCCGTGTGTTTGGAATGTGGAATGCCCCGAAATATAAAAGCCGTTTACTTTGTATGCTCACGTATCGGAGTTAATTTCTTGTAGGGCGCACTGGCATTTCATTATTATTTTAACATTTTCGCAGGTGTCTCTTGTAATGGTTTCTTTTGGATCGGCTCCGTTTCGATTGGGTTCGACGGGTTTTTGGGCTAGGCCTCGAATCGTTATTGTCGTTATTGTTGTATGCTTCGTTACGTTTTATGTTCGCTTTTCGAAACGGATCTCCCCGTTTTCGTTGCGTTTTCTATTTCTTGGTATTTCGGCTTTCTTACATTTTTCGTGTGTTAATGAAAATTTTATTGGAATTTTTTTTGTGGCTATTTTGTTTGTTTTTGAATTTTTTACGAGTTTATGAATGATCGTGCAAACAAACAAACCATGCCAGACATTTACCAGAGTGTTTTGAGGGGTTGGGTGGCTTTTTGTGGGGTGTGAGGTTGGTTTTCTGGTTGGTTTGGATCGACTGCCATGGAAAGGCGCTCAATCAGCAGCCGAAGCAAAAAGATCAACCGCAACGAGGGCATTCACTACATAAGAAATACAAGAAAATTAGAAAAAAAAAAGAAATCAATCGGTGACAAGCCAAGCAAGTCAATTGAATTCATAGTCGTAAAATAATAATTACTGTCTTCAAGTTGATTACATTATTGACTTGATTTTTATGATCCGACTCCATGGGGTATTGGTTTCTATGTTTCTTCACTGGAAAGCTCAAGAGCGCGGTTTTTAAAATGTTTCTTATAAAATTACTATTTTAGATTTTTAAAATAAATAGACTTAATTGAAAACTCAGCTAAAAGCTTTAAAATTCTCTATATCGAGTTCGAGCTTTTTATTTGGAAGGGTTTTTATTTCCCTCATAGTAATTATGTATCTCATTGTAATTTAGACATTTACTCATTTCCATAATTCCAAGTGTTTTATAGCTTCATAGCAACCCTGCCCGCATTTTTCCACCCTCCGCTTTTTAGCTCCTTTTATGTATCGCCGCTTCTGAAAACTTCCACGATAAAAACCCTCCGGAAAAACAGGCACCGCCTGGTACAGCCTTATATAGTGTTCGCTGGAGAGCCAGTTCAACATAGAACCGGCGAAGAATCCACCCATAGACAGGCCACTTTTATTCGCTTTTACGACTCGAGTTCATTTGAAATTAACGGCCATTATTTCGGGGCAATTGTTTGTCGTAAAAAAGGCAGTAGATTGGGGAAATGCATACCAAGCCCAAGCCCAAGCCCCGATTCCGCATAATAAGCTGTCGTTGGTTGGCAGCTTGTTTATAGAGATTACAAAGTGAGTCGAGCGAAATACCCGAAGTAAGATTGGAAAATCACAACTTGTTTGCGAACTCAAACAAACCACAGTTAATATTTAGTTAATGCCATAAATAATCGGTGACTAACGATTATATTCCCGCTTAGCCCCTTTTTCATAAAATTCTATGGAATTCAGATTAATATGTATTGTGGTTGGGATTCTCCTTTAACATTATGAGCTGCAGTTAAACTGATATCTGCATGCTTTATAAACTAGATATAATCGAAGAATTTCAATATTGTTAAGTCTTTCATCTAGTTAACAGTAGATTTATAAAAAGAGATACTTTTCCATTGACCTTTGAATCACTTTCGCATTATCATTTCATATTCTTACCCAAAAAACTGTGTTACTGATGAAATAATTCATTGTTATTTCATCACAGCGGGAAAGACCGGCCGACACCCACAATTAAATGCTATAATTGGGTCTACTAGCACCGTTCCATACATCTGGGGGCTGGGCAGGCGGCATTATCTATATGGATAATTGTGCCCCCCGTTAGTAGTCGCATTTAAATGTCATATTTGTTATTTGCAAAAGTTGCAACCTCTCTCGCTCACTCGGCCACCGGCCGTCTCTTTCTGCCACTTTGCCGGCAATGGGACAAAGTTATTTATCTCGCGTGAGGCGGCGTCACGTTGCTTATCTGGAACTCGCACCTCGCACACACCGATATTCGCCACAATACACAATTCGCACTAAAAAACCAACCATATCAAGCAAAACAACAGGCGACGGCGCTCACTTACAGACAACAACTAAAAAAATATAACTATTTAAGTGCTCGAAGGTTTCAGTCGCCGTTGCTTGTGCTCAAACGGACGTTCCAATGGACAGCAAATTGGTGGATCCGCATTCGGGGCATGAGTTGGCAGATCTGAAGATTAGAGGGCGCCACATGTGACCGGTATTTAGTTGTAAGTCACGGTGATCCCGAAAGACAGCGGGCTCCGAGGAGCTAGAGGTCGATCTCTATTTTGCTCGAATCACTGGAATAGTATGTCACAGAAGTCTCTAGATTAAACTATCATACTAAACAACAATAGAGTTATTCACTCTTCAGTTGTGAAATCAGTAGTAGCGAAATTAAATTATTATTTGAAGAATAATTTATTTATCGGAATGGGAGCGAATAATCTTATGGAATTTTTCCGTCTGTAAACTTATTTGTCAGGTGAAATGTTCGGTGCTTCCCCCAGTTCCGCATAAAGGCCGACCCATCGCTAAAGTATCTATTAATATTTATTTAACCATTTAAATGCTCGCTTAAATAAAGCTTTTCGAAATTATACAACAAAGTATGCAGAAAGGTAAGCGAATGGAAGCAGAAACAGGTGGATATGGATGGGATGCTGTGATGATGATGATGCTGTGACAAACCGGCGATATTGAGATATTATGAATGGGATGTGGCGGTGGTGGTACCACCACCTGATCATGATCGGCCCATCGATATAGAGCTTGACTTTCAGTCTGCCGAATCAGGTTTTTGATTGGTCATATCTCCATCTCCCAGTGAGTCTGGCCTGATCTCCGCTTATCATAATGCGATAATTTTATTGTTTTCCACTTTTTCGGTTGCTTTGAAACTCGGAAAACAAAAAAGACTTGACCAAAGGGGATTCGTATTTGGATTTGGATTTGGAGCATATGAAATATTTCAATAAGCTCGTTTTGGTCTTCTGCTCTCTTTCTTCAGTTTCTTCTTCTTCTTCGTCGTCGTCGTCTTCTGGAGGCTGGTTGTTTTTGTTTGTTATGCTTTCGGATTCGGATTGTTGTTGTCGTTGTTTCGTTTGCTTCTTAACTGGTCTGGCAACTTTGTTTCGGATTGGAATGTTGTTGGCTTTTGGCTTCGGACAGTCTCAGTCTCTGCGATTGAATTCTCCGATCTCTGATTCTCCGGTCGCGTCTCTTCATTCTCCAGTCTTCTCTGGCCTGTTTTCTGCCCGTTATTGCGTCAATGCCGACGTTATTGTTCTTGTTATTGTTATGATTATTATTGTTGTTATTGCTTCTTCTGGCTGTCTGTGTCTTTGTTGTTTTTGTTGTTGTTTCCCTCCCATTTTCTGCCAATGAGTCAGATTAGTGGAGCTAAGAAAAAGCAACGCGTGCGTAGCAATGCATTTTGTAAATTTCTTGGAAATTCTTGCTTTTAGTGTTTTCTGCTCAGCATTTTTACGTTAAATGCTCATAAAAATGGGACATATTCGTATATCTTTTATGCAATTTTGAAGAACCAAATGTTTTATGAAGGTCTTAAAAATAATTAAAATACATTTTTTCAAATTTAATTATTAGAAAACGAGTTAAAAATTCCTTCCCGATACGTCATCGATTTCCAGTTAACTATTAACTTTTAGAACTTGATTACTTTTAAATGTGGGGAAAATATCAACCATTCGCACCTGGAAGTATAGTGCCCTTTCAAGTAGTTTTGCCATTTGCGCTCACAAAACGAGAACACAAAGTGGGCAAAAACAATGAGTAGTGAAAAAAGCAGCGCAAATGACAGTTAGGCGTGCCAAATGCACCTTTACACTTTTTTACGAGGCGCGTGCACAGTGGCGCCCGAGGCGCGTTAAACGAAATTAAACAATAAAACGCTCGCCAGCGTTCGGACCGTTTGCGTTTGCTGTTAATTTCCATGTGTGTAAATGAGTGCTGATAAGCCAAGCCAGTTTCGCTATGGTACCGGGTATGGTATAATACTATGGCCCCGGCCTGGCCCTTTCCCCTCGCCTTTCCCCTTATCGCGTCATCATCAAACGCCGTGTTTCCACTTTAGCTAAGCAACTTTATTTCAAGATCTAACCATTTTTAAGTGGCTAAAGTTTTGCAGTTTTGTGAATTCCATAGCCTCTTAACTGTAGTTATTTTTATACCTGTTGCCCGCAGAGTGTGCAGCTAAAAGTTCTAAGGCGATAGGGGATTTAGACTTAAATCTCTTGAACATTATAATGTATCTAACAAGTATACAGACGTTCGGAGAAATCTTAGAACCACATAATGATTTATCAACCATAATTTTTAAAAAAATTTTAGACCATGTTTTCAAGAATATGTTTTTTTTTAAAGCTCCCTTTTGTTTAATAAAAATTACCAAGCATAAAAATAAAATATTAAAAAAAAAGAAAATAAAATAAAATATTAAAAATTAAAGAAAAAAGGAATAAAAATGTTTAAATTTAAAAAGGGGCAAACATTTTATAAATAAAAATAAAAACAGTAAATAAAATGAAACAATTCCATTATTATTTTCTGATTAGGTACCTATCAATTTTTTTTTTCGCGAATGTACATAGGAATTTTTGAGGTCTACTACTATCTTCTTATCGCCATATCAGCCATCATCAGGCTCCGATCTTTTGACAATGTTGTGTTGTCCGGAAATGGTGCTCACCGGAATTTTCTTCTTCTTAGTTTGTTGTTGGGTTGAAACTAAACGATAAACAAAAATAAAACAGTCAACGAAATCTGGGTCACCCACACATACAGACACACGCAAAACACCGGGCGAACGTTTGAGAGCCACAGTTTGGGAGTCACCGTAGCTTATTTGTTGTGAAGTGCGAGAGAAGCTCGTTTTTGCTTTTATTAAGTTGTAGTATATTTGTTTTCTGTCTTTTTCGACCGAGTCTCTTAATTTTATGTGTATGCTATAACAATTTTAATTATTTTAGTTGAGCATTTTTTTTTTTTATGTATTTATAGCGCGACATTTGCTCGCCGTTTGTATTATTTTTTACTGCGCAATAAAAGCAACAATAAGAACAACAACAAATCAAGCATAATAAACAAGCAGCATTACTTGAGAGCATGTGTGCGTGAGAAAGAGAGAGAGAGCAAAAGCCGCAAGAGAGAGAAGGCTTTTTGTTAATTTATTTGGTTTTTTTTCGGCGACAAGCTAGAAAAATTTGCAAAACAAGAACAAATTGCGTGTGCGGTTTTTTTCTATTCGGTTTGGGTTTTCTGGTTTGTTTGTATTGTACATCTACTACGTTTCCAACTACGCAGCAGAAATTCGCACAATAACAAGAACAACAACAACAACACCCTCTCTTACCGCTCTCTTTCTCGGATTTTCCTTTGCTTTTCCTTTGCCACGCAGCCGCATTTTCCTCGCCCCAAGTTACGCCCCAAAATTAGAAAAAACAACAAGAAGATAAAGAAGAAGAAAATAGTAAATACAAATAGTTTTGCACAAATCACCCGTTAGCAAAAAGCGTAGATTTTGATGAATTACAGCGTAGTAAAAGTCACACACACTTGCAATTACTATTTACTACTACTACGCTTTACAACGCGACTGCGCTGCCAACGTCAAACAAAAGTCGCGCGTCATTCAAAAAGTAAAAAAAAAAATAAACGTCAATGCTAAGCAAAAAAAAAAAAAAACAAAAATCGCTCTCCATATGCTTGCCATTTTTATTTATTCTATTCTTTTGTCTGTCGCATAAAATTATTTAATTTGTTGTTGTTACTGTGTTTTTATTTACTTAACAAGTTGCGCCGCTCCTCTTTCAGCGAGTGCGAGCGAGATGGCCAGTGTGGCTCGCCGGCTCTCAGCTGTTTTTGGTTACTCGAATTTGTTGTTTTCATTTTGTGTTTACCCCCGATTTCAAATTATTAAAAAACCCAAATATTTTCCATTCAGTTCATCACTGAAAAGCTTTTTTTTGTAACTTAAATATAAAGATATTTTTCAAGTTAAATAAACCAAAAACAGGCAAATAATATTGATATTAATTTCCCTTTTATCTGATCTAATAATCCAAAATCTATCTTAAAATATTGACATTACATTATAAAAGGGCACAGAATCGTAACATTTAGAGACAGACCGACACTTATTATAATAAATTAGTGTTATCTGCATAATAATATTGGCATTGCCTTTTTCTTCATTTGCTAAGTAGGACTTTAACCAAAAATGCCCCTATAAGGTCAAATCGTATCCAATTTCCGAGCACTCCATCTTGTCTTTGCCCCCTTCCTACGTAAGTCAATATATATATTAGCTGCAATAATTAGAGAGTAGTGACGAGCGTAAAGCGTTAAAATTAAAATCGCTTTGTGCGACAGAGATCGACAGATGGCAGGTAGTTCGACACGTGTGCCGAGCACTTGGCGCCCTTTTCCGCATAAAATTACGTAGGTTTCTCCTCTTTTTTTGTATTGTTTTTCAAGTAGAGTACTAACAACAACGTTTGCACATTCTGCTTTCTCATTACAGTTTCAAAGGCGGAAAAAATAGAGAAAAAACGGAGAGAAATAGCATTCCAACTGACGACAACAAAAAAAAATCCCCTAGAAGAAAAACTAAAGCTTTGTCGCTTGTTTCCGCTGCAAAAGCGTGCGACAGCGGGACGAAAGATGATCACTTAGCGGCAGTGCATATGAGAAAAACTCCTGAAAAGCCAGCAAATTTAAGAAACAAATAACGAAGTAACTAAAAAAAAACACCGGAATATGTTCAATATGCAACGGCAGGTGACAAAAAGTAAATTAAAGCGCGAGAAAATCAAGATGGAAAACGATACGGCAACAACAACAACAGGCGGTTACGCTCGGCAACATTTGTATTTTGTGCCGAAAAGAAATGTTACTACATCCGCCCCTCATTCAAAAAGGTAGGGTGCAAAAATACCGAATAATAAGTTAAAATTAAAAACATTTAAAAAATAATTCTAAAAATTATAAAAATAAACGAACATTTAGTATTTTTCAGAAATGTTGCTGGATACATGTTGCTGTCAGCAAGCAGTCCAAGCAGTTGAAAACATCCCCGCAAGCAGTGAAGAAACTAACAGCGTGCGCTGCTGTAAAGTTAACAGTGACCGTTTAATGTTAAGTGAAGGGGATTTAAGAGACGACGACTTCACTGTTTTTAAAGCGATACGTTTGCCAATATTTGCGACTTGTTTTAAAAGTCAGGGCAAAACAAAGGTGTATACATGGAGCGAAAAGAGGGGCGTGAGGTGCATTCGAAATCGCTCCTGCGACGAAAACGACGATGGCAGCACGAAAAACAACAGGAGGCAGCGCGAAAAGCTCAACATTTTTAGCAATTGCCACAACATATTGCGGACACTGCAGTCGCTGTTGCTGCTCATGTTCAACTGTGGCATCTTCAACAAGCGACGCCGGCGACAGCAGCAGCAGCAGCATCAGCAATCAAATGTAAATTACACAAAATTCCTATTGCTGCTACAAACACTGGCAGCAGCAACAACAAGACTGAGCTTCGGCCCTAACAATTACAACCAACAACAACAACAACAACAACTAAAACATAATCAACAGCTGCCACGTGCCACGCCGCAACAACAACAACAACAACAACGACAACAAAAAGAACAAGAACGGTTTCACTACAAACGCCATTTTCGTCATTGGAACAGTAGTCTGATCTGGATATTAGCCCTCAATCTTATGGCCCTTCATGCCACTGCGTCGGTTGTGATGCAACAACTCCCGCAGGACTGGCCACACGACGATATAACCGATAATATGGATAATACAGCACTGAAGGTAGCAACACATTCGCGATTGCCGAGGAGCGAATCAAACGTAACCATGCGATTGTCACCAAATACAAATAGTATGTACTGAAATCTATCCACCTAATAAAAAATTAAAATTTGTATAACTTTTCTATCAATTCTAGTTAAAATTTTCGTTTTGTATAAGTTTTTATACCCTTACTGTGAAAAGGGTAATAGATGTAAAAGATGTAACAGCTAGAGGACGTTCGACCCCATAAATATATATTCTTGATCAGGGTCACAGCCGAGTCGATCAGCCATGTCCGTCTGTCCGTCTGTCCGTCTGTCCGTCTGTCTGTCTGTCGTCTGTCCGTCGTAGAACGCGAGATCTCAGAAACTACAAAACAGAAGGTGAGATTTCCCACACAATCTTTGGCTTCCTACAAGTTTATTTTAGCCGAGCGCCACGCCCCAACGCCCACAATCGCCCACTAACGATTTTAAAATGGGTCCTGCGCCCACATCTTTAAAGATTTCCGAAGTATAAATGCAATTTTGTTGTGTATATTTATACCTATCGAAATGAGAAGACCTTTTCAAATCGGACCATTCATTAAAAAGTTATACGATTTATAAATTGTCAACATATATCTATCTCCCTCGCACTCCCTTTAGCGAGTTACGATTATTAGGGACACCAACCCGACACAGCGTTCGCACTCCCTTTAGCGGGACGGGTATTAGAAGCGGGACACCAACCCGACTATAGCGTTCTCTCTTGTTATACCTCCAATCTTTAAGGATTAAATATATACAAAAACTAATACCTTTCCTTCCTTTTTACCTTTACAGTCTGTAAATCGATTGATATTAGAAACTTTGTGTCGAGCTTCAATATGCTGGAGAACTGCACGATCATTGAGGGCTTCCTGCTGGTGAACATGATAAACGACGCCCTACCGCTGAACAGATCGTTTCCGAAACTAGTCGAGATCACCCAGTTCCTTGTGGTCTACCGGGTGACGGGGCTGCACTCGCTGTCGAAGGTCTTTCCCAACCTGCGGGTCATCAGGGGGCACAACAACCTGGAGGGTTACACCCTGGCCGTCCACTCCAATGCGGACCTTATGGACATAGGGCTACCAAGGCTGCGATCGATTACCGGAGGAGATGTGAGGATCGAGAGGAATCATAAGCTGTGCTTCGAAAGGACCGTCGACTGGCAGAATCTTATGCCCGAGAACGGAAATCAGTCGCAGGTGGTAATGAGGGAGAACAGCAAGGACTGCGAGCTATCCAAGTGTCCAGCGGAGTTCAGGATGGGAGAGAATCACGATTCCACATCAGCTGACGGAGAGCTGATCGCCGGGTGTCCCGAGCGCAATGGCCAGCGGTATTGCTGGGACAGCAAAGTCTGTCAGACATGTGAGTTTATTCATTTTATTTATACTTATGCATACTGACATTTTTCGTTTCTCTAGTTTGTCCCGCGGAGTGCAGAGACAACTGCTTTGATGAGAAATCGTGCTGCCACAAGGACTGTTTGGGTGGTTGCACCCGGGATAGAAATGGCAAAGAGACCTGCATCAGCTGTCGAAATGTATCGCTAAACAATGTTTGCATTGAGACCTGTCCGACTGGCTACTTTCGGGTAAGACCACAGCCCCAAATTGCACACTATGATTACCGATATTTGACTATCTCGATCTTTCACAGTTCGACAGCCGCTGCGTTACGGCAAAGGAGTGCAGAACTCTGTCCAAATTGATAGACGGCAAGGAACTAAACGGTATGCCCTTCCAGGGAGAATGCACACCTCTTTGTCCACCAGCCTACCAGAAGAAGGTTGTGGCCGGCGAGGACACATGTGAAGCTTGTCCGGGTGGCGCCTGCGAGAAGGTGTGCCCCGCCGGTCTCATCGACGGCTTTAATCGCGCGCGGGAGTTCCATGGTTGCAACATATTGACTGGTCCCGATCCCCTTACTATCAGCATCAAACGTGAAAGAAGTGGTGAGTGAGATTTCTAGCGCAACCTAAGTTCAAAAAGCCAGTAAGTAAGTAAAATCTAAAATCGATCAAAATTTAATCAAAAATGTTCTTTAATTAATGAAATATTTTCTGTTTCATCTTGTGTATTCAAGAAATCAAAAGATTAGATGCTTGATAAAATTAAAAAATATTTTCTGAAGATTTTTAGCGAAAGAAATCGTTTTCTATAACAATTGCTCGATTTCAACATCTTTAAAATAATAAGCAATTTCAGTTCTTTTGATCCTGCTAATTTTTCTGTGCTCACTAAAATGTTTATATTCATTTCTAATATTATATTAATCTTCTATTTCCTTTACCAGCTAATGTCATCGAGACTTTGGAGTTCGGCCTTTCTGCCGTTCGTAAAATTGAATCGTCGCTAATGGTGCACCTGACCTACGGATTGACTTCTTTGAAATTCTTCAAGTCCCTAACCGAAATTAGCGGCGATCCTCTGAAGGACAAAGACAAGTTCGCGTTGTATGTGCTGGAGAACCGCGATCTGGAGGAGCTCTGGGCGCCCAATCAAACGGTGCACATTAGGAGAGGTGGCGTGTTCTTTCATTTCAACCCGAAACTCTGTGTATCCACGATCAATAAGCTGCTGCCCATGCTGGCCTCCAAGCCGCAGTCTTTCGACAAGCGCGATGTGGCCACAGATTCGAATGGAAACCGCGGATCTTGTGAGTGAATTTAAGCTTTAATCACGACTGCAAAACTAATTGATTCAAAATAATTTACAGGTGGAACTGAAGAGCTCACCGTCGCTTTACAGTCGGTGGGGTCGTTTTCAGCCATGTTAAATGTCACGTCGAAGGTGGAGATTGGAGAGCCACGCGAACCGACCAATGCGACTGTCGTTTTCAAGGACCCTCGCGCTTTCATCGGTTTTGTTTACTATCACATGGTTTATCCGACTGGGTTCCCATCCAAGAGCAACGACGATCCGTGCGACGAGCGCTGGACAGTCAGTCCGCCCGACAAGAGTGGTCTTGCGAATTCTAGAGAGTTTAACACCATACACCAGATATGTCTACTACGTGCGGACAATGGCCATATCCTCGGAATTGACCAACGCAGAAAGTGGAATACAGGAATTCATGACAAGCCCCGGTCAGCCTTCAAAGGTGACCGATGTCGTGGCCAACGCCACCTCTGATTCGAAAATTGTGAGTACGGAAGAATATCTATAGAATATTTAAAAGCTTAAACCATTCCGGGAGCTGACCAAACTTTCTTACTCTTGCAGAACGTAACCTGGAGCTACACAGATAAACCCTACGGCATTCTGACCCGCTTCTTTATAAAAGCCAAGCTGATTAATCGACCATTCCGGAACAATAATCGGGACTACTGCTCTGAACGTAAGCTAATTTATAATTGTAATATAATAATTATATTAATTTTATTTTGTCCTGTTCTGTGCAGCTCTCTCCAAGGCCATGGAGAATGATATGCCGGCCACGACGCCCGTCATAAAGCCACTGGATACAATGTCGGGCGACTGCAAATGCGTGGAGGGCGTGAAAAAGACTAGTAATCAGGATGATGAAGACCGTAAAATTCAAGCCGGCATGGAGTTTGAGAACGCTCTGCAGAATTTCATATTCGTACCGAACAATCGGAGAAATAAGACTGCATCAACTGACAAATCAGATGAATCTAAAGGTGCTGGCCCTCGATTCCAATGCGATACCAAACGATGGAGCTAAGAATCCCTCCCGACCAAGACGGCACGTCGCCCTGGAGCCAGAGTTCGATAATATTGAGAGCAGTGTGCTGCTACGTCATGTGCGCTCCATGACGGACGATACGGAAGCGAATAATAATGATGTTGATACATCGTTTGAGGACGAGGAAATCCTGTCTGCCAACAAAAAATTCTACGAGGTGTTTGCCAAGGAACTGCCGCCCAATCAAACGTATTTCGTTTTCGAAAATCTACGCCACTTTACACGTTACTCCATTTACGTGGTAGCCTGCAGGGCAGAAGATCCTGCGGATTTAAATAGGGTTACAAAGCCTAAACTTTGCAGCGAATACGATTCCGTCTTCCAAACGACCAAAAAGAGGGGTAACTTGCTAGAAAGAATAATATCTTTAAATAATTACTAACGCTTTTTGTATTTTCGTTTAGAACAAGCTGATGATGTCACTAATTTAGTGGTGGAGTTGGAAAACGCCAACAATACGGAATCCTCGGTGCGGCTTCGCTGGGAGCCACCAGTCGATCCCAATGGGGAAATCGTCACATACGAAGTGGCCTACAAGCTGCAGAAACCCAATCAGGTGGAAGAGAAGAAGTGCATCCCGGTGGCGGAATATAACCAAACCGCTGGCTATCCACTGAAGCTCAACGAGGGACAATACAGTTTTAGGGTGCGGGCAAACTCAATAGCGGGATTAGGCGACTTCACGGATTTCGAATACAGAGAAGTTGAGGTAAGTTAATCATTAAAATATATATTCCTTTGCATTCCACTGACAAGAATATCTATTTCTATCAAACAGCCTCCGCCGAGCTATGCAAAGTACTTTATCCTTGCATCGGGCATCCTCGGTACAGCGGTGATTATCTTCCTAATGGCCTACGTTCGTCACCTGCGCAAGAGGGGACCCTCCAACGATCTTCATATGAACACAGAGGTCAATCCGTTCTACGCGAGCATGCAGTACATCCCCGACGACTGGGAAGTGCTGAGGGAGAACATCATTCAGTTGGCTCCCCTGGGCCAGGGATCCTTTGGCATGGTGTACGAGGGCATCCTGAAGGGCTTTGCGGGCAACGGCGATATGGAGTGTGCCATCAAGACGGTCAACGAGAATGCCACGGATCGCGAGCGAACCAATTTCCTGAGCGAGGCCAGCGTGATGAAGGAGTTCGACACCTATCACGTCGTTCGATTGCTGGGCGTCTGCTCCAGGGGTCAGCCCGCTCTGGTGGTCATGGAACTGATGAAGAAGGGCGATCTCAAGTCCTACTTGCGGGCCCATCGTCCCGAGGAGCGGGACGAGGCCATGATGACGTACCTCAATCGCATCGGTGTGACCGGAAATGTCCAGCCTCCGACTTACGCCAGGATCTACCAGATGGCCATTGAGATTGCCGATGGCATGGCCTATTTGGCGGCCAAGAAGTTCGTGCATCGTGATCTTGCGGCTCGCAACTGCATGGTTGCCGATGATTTGACGGTGAAAATCGGAGACTTTGGCATGACCCGCGATATCTACGAAACGGACTATTATCGCAAGGGAACCAAGGGTCTGCTGCCAGTGCGATGGATGCCACCGGAGAGCCTGCGCGATGGCGTCTACTCGAGTGCCAGCGATGTGTTCAGCTTCGGAGTGGTTCTCTGGGAAATGGCCACGCTGGCGGCTCAACCATACCAGGGACTTTCCAACGAACAAGTCCTGCGCTTTGTCATCGATGGCGGGGTGATGGAAAGGCCGGAAAATTGCCCGGAAATACTTCACAGACTCATGCAACGCTGCTGGCATCATAGGTATTCGGCCAGACCTAGTTTCCTGGACATCATCGCCTACCTCGAGCCGCAATGTCCCAATTCGAAGTTCAAGGAGGTGTCCTTCTACCACTCGGACGTGGGTCTGCAGCATCGTGAGAAGGAACGCAAGGAGCGCAACCAAATGGATGCATTCTCGGCGGTGCCCTTGGATCAGGATCTACAGGACCGCGAGCAGCAGGAGGATGCCACCACGCCGTTGCGAATAGGTGATTTTCAGGGCTACAAGTCCAACATGGAGCAGAACTCATCCTTGGATCAGCCGGCCGAGAGCCCCATCGCCATGGTCGATGATCAGGGTACTCACTCGCCATTTAGCCTGCCGTCGGGCTTCATAGCCAGCAGTACTCCTGATGGCCAAACGGCACTGCCAACCGCATTCCAGAATCTGCCAGCCATTCAAAGTGCTGACCTAACGCCCTACGTTCAGCCGGATGCCGATGCTTTGGACGGCGACAGGGGATACGAGATCTACGATCCGAGTCCAAAGTGCGGCAGAACTACCGACGAGCAGAAGTGGCAGCACGGGGGGCGGAGGAAAACTCAGCGGGGAGCAGCATTTGCTGCCAAGAAAGGGCCGCCAACCTGTCATTATGAGCAGCTCCATGCCGGACGACGTCATCGGCGGATCCTCTCTGCAACCCTCGACCGCCTCGGCAGCTAGTTCTAATGCCAGTTCTCACACTGGACGCTTACCTAGTCTCAAAAGGGCAGTGGCCGATACGTTGCGCAACCGAGCTAACATGTTCAATCGCCATATGTTCAACCACAAGCGAACGGGCAGCAATGCCAGCCACAAGAGCAACGCCTCCAATGCTCCCAGTACCAGCAGCAACACCAACTTGACCAGTCACCCGGTGGCCATGGGCAATCTGGGAACCATCGAGAGCGGCGGCAGTGGCTCGGCCGGCAGCTATACAGGTACACCCCGCTTCTACACACCCACGGCCACGCCCAGCGGAGGAGGAGGCATCGCCATTAGCGACAATCCCAACTACCGACTGCTGGACGAGTCGATGGCCAGCGAACAGGCCACCATTCTGACCACCAGCAGTCCCAATCCGAACTACGAGATGATGCACACGCCAGGCAGTCGTTTGATCAGCACCAATCCGAACTATGTGCCCATGAGTGAGCCTCCTGTTCAGATGGCTGGGGTGACCATCAGCCACAATCCAAATTACCAGCCCATGCAGGCGCCGTTGAATGCTCGCCAAAGTAGCTCCGACGAGGACAACGAACTGGAGGAGGAGGACGACGACGACGACGAGGACGATGATGTGGACGACGAGCATGTGGAGCACATCAAGATGGAACGCATGCCGTTGAGTCGTCCGCGGCAAAGGGCGGTGTCCAGCAAGTCGCAGCCGCCACGCAGTCGCAGTGTCAGCCAAACCAGGAAGTCGCCGACGAATAGCAACTCCGGAGGCGGAACGACCGGGGCCGGCAACATGTCCAACCTGCTCAAGGAGAGCTGGCTGCGGCCGGCAAGTACGACGAGGCCTCCACCGCCCAATGGATTCATCGGCAGGGAGGCGTAATCGTTTAGACCGTAGTTCTGTAGAAAAACCTGTAAATAGATGAGCTGGAAGCCAAGGTGAGGGATATGGAGTAGCAAACTTTTGCCGCAAGCTAAGCTCTTCCCTTTGCCTGCAAACTAGGGTGGTGACAAACGAGTATATAAAAATTGAGTCGGGAGCAATCTGTGTACACAGCATGTTTAGCTATGAAAATTCACTTGATTTTTAATAATTCAATACACTTTGTAATTATTTCTTGATGTGTAAAGTAAAATTGCTAAATAGCTAAGAAACAGCTGACTAGATTGCTTACTGCCACCGCGATTCTCTGTTCAAAGATTCGATCCACCCTAACTGCACATGTATAATACCAATAGTTTCGATTAAGTATTTACTCTACTTTTTTTTTTTTTGTTTAAATTAATGAACTAGAGCCGTTAACGCAATACAAAATGAGAGCAGAGAACGATAGTGAAAGCAGAGAAAACAGAGAAAACAGAAAAACAGAAAAACAAGCAAAACAAGTCCTACATGCAAATAACAAAAGTACAAAAGCCAACAACCAACCAACCTAAGTACCGTTTAAATAGACATACAAATTCTACCAATTATAACTTATAACTCATACCTACTACGTATATTAATTATGATAATTTTTAGTACCTACCAAATCTCGCAGAGAGCAAGGCGAGAGTTAGAGGAGAACCACAGAACGGAACGGAACAACAGCAAAAAAAAAACAGAAATAGATGAACTATACAACAGCAAACAAGCAATACAAAAACAAAACAACAACTGTCTTCACTGAGTTAGCTAGCGATAGTTATAATTATCCAAATACCTACCTTAATGTAACTAAATTTAAATGTTACTCAGCTAATTTTAAATGCATGTCGAAATCGAAATGCCTTGCAATTTTAGCACTTGCAATTTTACCCCTGATTTTTATTTTTATTTATATTTACACCTACGATTATTTTAAGCAAGTGGTAAGTGTTGCTTGATTGTTCATAATTCACCTATAAATTCTTCTCTTTTTTATTGCGTAATTATAATATTTATTGTTTAACTGGCAAAAGTTTGCTCTGCTCTAGAAGTACCATCTACATACTTGGTTTATCAAGCGAAAGCAAGGCCCAGAAGCAAACGTATAAACTTTTGTTCTATTTTTTTTCTAAATTAATTTTTGTTGAAGCCAAGCTTCGGAAAATGAATTAAGAAGGAAGAGGAAACCATAACGTAATTTCAAACTGAGAGCTTAACTAACTGATGCATCATAATTATTGTATACAATCTGCTGTCGTTTTTTATACAACACATGCTATATACGAAGCAAAAGCATTTTATGTACTAACTATAGATAAAAGCAAATCTTAACGAAACGAGAAAAATCCATAGACTCATATACAACACTTTTCACTAGACCTAAATAATCTGCCATACGCCATTAACTCAAATATGAACAAGAAACCGGACGGATTTTGTTTTTCTTTAATTTAATTATTCAACAATAGCTCATAGACGAAACAATAGACAAATTATATACCATATACCACATATATTTACACATAATTAGGAACTGAACGTGATATGTTTGCTGAGTGTACTATCCTGACAGTTCTCCGATTTCTAGGAGAGGAACGGAACCCAAAGTGTCCAATCCAAACTAACCACAAAAGCACACAACATTCTTTTGAAAATCTGAAATAAGCAATAACCCACATTAGCAACAGCAACAGCAACAGCAACAACAACAACTTTACATTAACGACAACAACTGCAACAAATGGAATTTTTAAACGAAAAACAACTACAACAAAAGTATTCGATATTTGCCTTCGCTCTTTATATTATTATATATTTAACTATACAAAAACACATATACTTCATCTTCCTCTAAGATTGTAGGCATTGTAAGAATGAAGGAAGAAGTTGAAGGAAGAGATAGGGAGGAAACCTTGAACTAATTTTAGTATATAAAGTAAAAAAGGAGGAAAACAACTAGTGCTAATTATATAAACAAAACTGGGAAGCAAGCGATATTTACACTGAAAACTGAAGTAAAAATTATAAAAAAAATACAAAAGAAAGGAAAATAAAACAATTATATTAATTTAACTAAGTAATACGCTATATGCATAACGAAACAATAGATATTCTACACAAACACACATGCACACAGCCACCCACACACATTTATATACATTACACATACACACACTAAAAAGACTGAAAGATATAGTTCCTTTTGTTTTTATGTACATAAAAAATGCGAAAAGAAAAAAGAGAAATTCTAACAAAAATTATAAACTTAAAGCGATGCAAACGAAGGCGGGGAGAACGTAAAAACAATTAATGGAATTATACATTAAACGAGTAAATTAAAATAAATCAACAAAGCAGCAGAAAAGCATTATGCGGCATCATGTAACATGTATATTTAGTAGTCGAATTAACTGAATTGTTGTAACATAAAGTGGAAATACGAGCGCTTTCGCGACAACGCCAAATATCAACTACTTATATAGCGATATATATTCAGGGTGGTTTGGCTTTGGGTCGCGGCCGCTCCTCGCTGCTTTCATGTATATACACGCGAACATCTATTTCAATAAACAGTACCATTTAAACAAATTATTGTAAACTAAATACACATAAACATTGTAAACACAACAGAAAAGGATAAAAAAATAAAAAGCTTCAATATTTTTATTATTTCTAATTAAAGCTAATTGTAAAAATAATGCTAAGTTAATTGTTTCCTGTTTGTTTAAGCAAAAAAAAAAACAAAATATAATAAAAAGAAAATACAAATAAAATTCAATACTACAAGTAACAACAACGTGTTTAGCACATTTATTTTCAAGTCAAGGCAAAATTCGGGAACATTCCTTGTAAACTATGCTTGTTCTTAAAGCCGAATATCACCACAATAGGTGATATTAGTTTTCTTCGTTCGGCTTTTAACAAACCACAGCCATTTCAAATGATGGACTATCTAATTAGCAAGCTCCCCTTTCCTTTCACTAATGTCGGGCCAATCGAGAAAGACTGCCAAAGTTTCGGGGATGAGCCACTAACCATTCAGCAGGAGGACTGACAAATAATCTAATTAGACGCCAGTGCGATGAGTTTCAACTGTCAAAAAACGAATGCGGGTGATTTCGGAGCCCCAGTCCCACGGAAACTAAGGAACTACGAAACGCGAGCCACCGGAATGGATATGAAGATGGGGTGCCGAGAGGGATGGCGACATTGTGTCAAGATGTCAAAGGGAAAGGTAATAAATTACGGGCTCCAAGTCGCTGGCTTCTCGGCAGCTGGTGGAAAAGCGGTCCAAGGATGCCCTCGGCATTTTCAATTTCCGCAGCGGCATTTTTCAATATGAACGGGAGGGAATTCCTCGGAGAACGACTGATGACATGCGCACTCTCGGCCCGACTCGACATGTAATTAGTTGGATACTTCATTAACCACAGTCGACAATCAACAAATGAGTAATTAACTTGCACCAGGGACTCGCGGCTCCTCGCCAGCCTCGTGTGCAGTTAATATTTCATAATTGAGCAATTTATTTTCGCCTCTTTGACAGGATCAAAGATGAAGCCGCCGCCAAAGCGCCGCATGCAAATTTTATGCTCGGTTAGTCGCCGGTGGGTAGGCTTTGTGTGTGGCTCCCGGAGCAGGGAACTATGTGTGTATCTTTGATCTTTTGAGGGACAGGCACCACATCGTAGTAGGTCGTTACCAGGCTGTCACTAGGTAAGCACACAGCGTAGGAAAAGCGGGTAGAACCTGTAAGCCACCACCTGCAATACTGCGCCACTGATTGGGTAAGCAGAAATGTCGAAAGATAGCTATTCCAATCCTATAATTCTTCAAAATAAATCTGCAGAGCAATGTATGGTCCCGGGGTGAAAGTGGGCAACTGGCTGGAAACTGCCCTGTCGGAAGAGGTGAGATTTTTGTATCTGTATCTGGACCATGTGAATATCCTTTGATTTCAGTTTTGAAAGAAAAAATATAAAGGAAAAGCATATTATCCAAATGGTCGTAGTATTTAAAACTGAGTTCACGATGTATATCTATATTTTCAGATATTATTTACTTAAATCATAAAATTTAACTTATTTAAAATTTTTTAATATCACTGAAAGTAGTTATTAGCCGGTATTTTTAGCTATTTTTCACGATTGGAGTAGTTAAATTTACTGCAGATACTTGTTATAAAATTCAACGAACTCTTAAATGATTTTTACAATAGAATTAATATTTTATCTGAATTTTATAATATTTTCGGATTCAAGGACTTAAAAATATAAATGGGTTGCTTGGATATTGTTTTATCATTTTGTGATTAATTGCAGATGCGGGTAAGCGAAATGAAGAAGCGACGAGAGAGTGGCAACCTCTTGCTGGACAGAACCCGCGCCGTCTACGACCGCTTCTACCAGGAGACGGTGCTGGGGCCGCCGCAGGATGTGCTGGCCTTCGGCGTGGTGGTGCAGCTCCGGCCCGTGAGGATTAACGTCTGCCGCCAGCAGGTCCCGGATCAGAACCTCGTCCTGTCGGTGGTGATCACCCAGGAGGGCCTGCATCGCAATTGCCACACCATCAACGAGATGTGCGACCTTTCGGTGGCGCCCTCGCCACATCCCTCGCTCCGCAGCAGCTTCAGGATTGTCAGTCCAAACGACGATGACCGTTCCGGGCAGTATTTGGCCTACGGCGAAAAGTTCCGCCTCCAAACCATCGAGCCCGCCGATGAGCCCATGTACGTGTTTAGCGGACCGAAAAGGCTTAACCTCTCGCTGCCCGTGGACAAGGCGTTCTTCACCACCAAAAACGGCGAGCTTACACTGCCACTTGGTCTGGTATCTCACAAGGTCTGTTCTTGCTTTTCCCCCATCAAAAGTATTGTTTAATAAGCTACATTATCCTATAGAACTGCGGCCCATCTGCCCGGGTGCCCACTTCCCACACTCACTTTTTCTGTTCCCATACGGATCCCGATTTGCGATTCGAAAACGAGGGCAAGACAATACCCGTAAGTATGGAAAAGCATTTTAAACAATCGTAAAAATTATTAATATCAAATTAGTACTTGAACATATCAAACTTTATCTTTTTAGATATTTATAATGTAAAATTGATATAAGAGCAGATCAAAGTGACATTCTTTTGTTTAAATTATACGTTTTTTTTTTACTTTTTAATCTTATCTTGCAATATTATATCCTTTTAGGTAAACAATCCATTGCTTATTGTCCATGCGGTGACCAATCGAAATCTTGCTGTGGAGAATGTCTTGGCCAACACCCTCTTTGGTCCAGAGTTTCAGGTGTCCGTGCAGACCTACAAGAATGTGTACAAGCGGGAGACCTGGAAGAACCAGTGGAAGTTCACATATTGATATGGTTCGTCCCATATTGTGGCGTATTTTCAGTCTTTTGTATTTCATCTCATTCAACCTGGGTATCGCTCGTACCTGCTGTGGCATTCAAACGACCCAATCAAATGAGCTGTTGCGCGTTCGCCTGTTTGTTGAGCATGTCAAAATAAAAGACTAGACGAGAAGTTGTCGTAAATTCCGTTTGATTGTCGGGCAATGCCAAGAATCCCGGGTGGAAATTTATGTCTCCCCCTCGAAAGTTTCTAGGCGGTCAACGAGGCGTGTGAGTGATTTGTTGCGGGGGCAACGCTGGGGGAATATGTCACAAGTTGCGCCACTTTATGCTTGTGATAAATTAATTAAAATTAGACAATAACTACGACGGGAAGAGGCTAATGAGCTGGAGACGATCGACAAGGGCAGCATCTTCGTCGTCGCCCAACTTGCAAGCGGATCTTGTAGAACATGTCAGCGCAACAAATTTCAATTAGTTCGCGCTTCACTTATTTGACGGCAGCAGAGCAGTCATAAAAAGAAAGTGCCGCCCCCAGACGAATCTTGGGAATTGGAAGGCAGCACATGGTAATATACACTAAAAGAAAATTGTAAGTACAAAAAAATAAATCTCTAGAGTTTTAAAATCACTCATTTAGGTGCCTAAAATTATGCAGTGAAAAATAGACGTCGACTTTGGGCACGAATCCTTTTGATTTTCATATTCAAAATATATTGCATACTTTTATACACCTTTATAAATATTTTTATTTTTTTGTTATTCCTGTTTAATGATGCTTAACATCTCTGAATCTGCCTTTTATATTTATTATGATCGATTTCGAAATCACTCTGGGTTTATTGTGGTTTTGGGATGCTGTTGTCCTTTTTAAAAGCATCTATATTTATTCTGCGTGTATCATAATTAATTTGAACAACTAAATTCGACACACGATGTACTACTGTAAAACCCCGATTGGGATTTAAATTGGCCGCGGGATCACCGCCCAGAGGAACTTTAGTGCCAGGGCCGGGTCTTTTGGGAATATTGCGAACTAAGGAGCTGCAAATGAAGCCAAAGGTCCCCGACATGGAGTTATTTTCGGCTGTTCGCTCCGATTACATGTTTTCTGTCATAGATTAGCCGCGCACCGCCTTCGGCCGCCACAGAGCACCCAGAATTTCACACTCCCCCGACAATCCCTCTTTTTTTCCCAATCCCATTCCCATTTTCATTCCCGGCATCTGTTGCAGCCGAAGAAGTACGAGTTCGAGTATCTCGAGTGACAAAGTGGTTCGAGGGGAGTATCGTTTTCGGATTCTGGGTGTTTCCTCCGGGCTAAACTGCACATTACTTATGCAGGATGATTTACTGGGACGCGTGACAGATTTACAAGTTGCATTTACTGCATTAATTCATCATAAATACTCTGTGCTGGCTGTGTGGGGGCCATAATTTGTGCGGTGTGTCGAATAGATGAAATATCACGAGCATGAGCTTCGATAGAGGGATCTTCACACCTTCGACTGGCCTGTCACATTGAGGAAACAATTACCGAATGGCATTTCCTGCCCGCGGTTATGCCTCTAATTGCACTTGATGTGTATTTTTAAAACTTTGTTCATTTGCAACACATTTTCGCCGTTTTTTGTCCGTCTGGCTGGGTAATTATTACGAGGCGCTGACACAAATATCGCTTGCAGGCGACTCGTGTGCAGCCGAATGTCGGCGGCAGAAATAATTTACACATCTAATTAAGATACTGTTGAATGTAATGCTTTTATGGCTCTTTAATGCATCCTCTAAATATTGCATTATATTAATTTTAATCATTTTGCTGGCCAGAGAAATTAGCTAAGCAAATACTTGCCTGGCATTGGGTTTATTTTGGGGTGTGTTCATTTTGCGAGGAATGTTTTCCTTTTGTTCAAATGGCGATCAAAACCAACTGAGCACACTCAAAACACAATAAAAGCTGAAAACGTATTTTGAATGCATTGCGTTATAAAACAAAGCATCATTTGGTGGGCCTTTCGGCGACAGGAAAACAAACATAGCCCCGAAAAAAACATTGTCTCTGTTGTGTTCTCATGGCAGGCTGCATTTTTATGTGCCATGAAATTAATTTACGATTACGACAATTTAAATTTTTAAAATCCCACTAAAAATATGCCAGCAACATAGCTGCTGGTTGTCTTGTCAAGCGAAAGTGTTAAAAAGCAGCCACAAATGTGGCCCGGGCATTATGTTCTATATTGGGGGGTTGTAGGGTTGAGGGATTGAGGGATTGAGGGCCCCGGGCCATTGTGTCGCTGTTCAATATCAAAGTGTTGACTTCACTCAGAAAATGAATCGCCCTGAATTTTAGAAAATCGCCTATGGATTTGCTTCACTGGCGATTTTTTCTTTAAAATAAAAAATTTTCTACTGGTAAAGAAAATTTTCATTATTCAAAATTCTTTAATTTAAAAAAATTTTCAAAAAATAAAAAAAAACGCCAGTAAAGCAAATCAAATAGGTTTTTTTTAAAATTTTTTTTGAGTGTTGAGTTTATGTTTCATATTTTGTCTGAAGTCATTTAATTTCTATAAACAGACAGGCAGGACCAGTCATTCGCCTTCCAGGGGTTGCTATTCCGCCCCGAGATGATGATGATGATGTGGCACTGACGTTTATGTGGCATCATCGGCGGAGGCGGAACTCGTTCACGGCTTATTTGGCAGCTCTTTTGAGTCCGTTTATTGATGTCGCTGCTGCCGACAACAAGTTTTAAGTGGCTGTTACTTTATGAGCTTATTAAGAAGGAAGTTGTTGGCGATGCTCCCGGTTTTATTGGCCTAAAAAACGGGACCATAAATTCCAATAGCAATGTCAGAGGAATGAAGGACCTCAGGTGTGTCGACTGACAAGAGTTTCCACTTATAGTTACGCATACGATTTATTCTGCCTTTAATTTTTGTACAAAACAAGCTGCTTTCCCTTCATTTTTGATTACATCCCATCAAAACTATCCACACAATTGAGAGCCTAATCAAGCATGGACTCCTCCACTCGCATCCATTCCGGGGATTTGGCCAGTGTCTGATTTGAAAATTATTTATTTATGGCAATCAGCAGCGGAGCACGAATGGCAATTGTGTTTCATTTCTCTTAATACAGCTCGTCAAATAAACAAATCATGGTGTTAAGGCAAATGATGGATTGACATCAGGCCGCACACATGAGTGTTTGTGCACTCAGCCAGTAGCCAGCAAGCCAAACATGGCCAACTGAAAATCCGAGCAACTGGCCAAGCGGCAACAATGGAGTGGAGGGCACAGTGGAGTGAATTCTTTATGTCTTTAGAAGTAAGAATATTACAATGGAAAGGAACCACTAGTTAAATGGATTTAAGTTGGTTTAATTAAAAAAAAAGGTTAAAATATAAATTTCAAATAATAAATATTATTTTTGTTTAATGTAAAACTGATATTTTAAAGAATATAAAAATATAGTTTGTTAATCTGATAGAATACCAAAATATAATATTTTTCATTCTCTCATCTGAAATGAAATGTATGTTATATTTTTACTATTTTTATCACTATACAGATTAGAGATCTAGAGTGATTAAAAAGCTAGAAAGCCCGTTGTGAGTGTAAATAAAAATGTAATATAGATGAAATTGGTTTTTTAGCTCTTCATACTGTGCGATGCGTCGATTTTTGCAGTAACAGTGGCAACATTTTGTGGCATGTGCTGGCTGTTTGTTCTACATCTCCTTTTGTTGCCGCAGTGGCTTTAAAATCCCTCCCTTTTGCAGCGCACTTTATTTTTATTCTCAACACTTTTTTGTGCGACCTGACTTGGCACAGAAAGAAAAAAAGGAGTGGGGGCAGCGGGGCACCGGCAAGGAGGGGAAAAACACGAAAACATTCATAAAATATGCATTATGCAATCTAAGCTCGTGTGAGCGTTGCTAAATATTTTATGCACATGTATTGTGCCGCACACAATCGCACAAAATACGACCAAACATCTGTGTGCGGATGGCCGTATTGTGTAGTTTATGATTTTGTTTTGCCACTCTGAAATTATTCATAATCATTAATATATCGCCGCCACAAAGGGGGCAAATATCGAAATTAACAAATTCCCCGATGTCAAAAAAATTCCACGCCTCGCCGAAGACAAATGGCCGGAGTCGCTCAAACAAGAGTCGAAAATCCGAAATAATAAAAACATTAAAACCATAATAAATACAGTTTTAAATCACATGTGCCGTTTAACACATTGAGCCGAGCGTTTGCTTTCCATTTTTAATGTGCTTTCCGTTGGACTGCGCATAAATTTCAACTTAAATTGCGCGCGCAGGCCAAAAAACCAGAGGCTCCCGACCCCCTTATCCCCCTTTTACCCCCTTTCCGGTGCTGAGCAAACGCCGCCCACTTAACGCCCTGGGTGGCTGCTATCTCTCTCACTCACTTCTCGCCCCGTCTCACTCGCTCCTCCAAGAAGACTCTTGCCAATTAGCATCTGTGTGCGTTGGATTTGGTGGCCGTTATGCCTAGTTTATTTTGATTTGCCTAAGATTTTAATTTCTGTATTTCGAAACTATTAAATTATGGGCAAAATGTCGTTGCTCTTTGATCTGCCTGCCAAATGTCTTCGGGATCCCAATCCCAATTCTCGGTCCCAAAAGATCTCTTTATGTATGTGAACATTAAGGTGCATATAGCTTTATTACTGCCCGACCATTCGCTTTTTCTTTGTTCTCTTCACTTTTCCGGCGATGTTTCCTTTACGGCCTTTTAATAAGAATTATGTGACTTTAATTTATGTCTCAATTTTGCGCATATTAAAATCTTTATTTCGCGATGCGAGTTGCTTTGGTTCAGAATTTCAAAGTGGTGCCAAATAAGATTTAATCGACGCAATATTTTCACGTTTCTTTGCTTTTTTTTATAATTTGTTATAGCGCATTAAAAATAATACGATAATTTCTATTTCTGTTTAAATTTTCGGATCTTTTCCAGAAATTAAATATTTTTTTAAATCATTCTTTTAATTCTTTAGCTAACTTGGTAAGTTGCTTAACAATATTAGTTTTAAAATATCTAAATTGACATTTTTTACTTATCATAAACGCATCAAAGTTTAAGCTTTTCATTCGATTTACGATTTTTACTCAATTTTCTAAATGTCCATATCTAAAT